ATTTGCGTTGGGGATTAGTTGGGGAACACTCCGAACTGTTCGAAAGTCCGTTTTCTGTGTACGGTTTCAAGCGAGCGTGTTCGAATAGCCAGAAATACATGTAGAACGTATCCTGTGGTGGAGCAGGATGTGGTTTGTTTAGCGCCAATCATGCTAACTTTGGATGCGCCGCGCATTGAGGTCCGCGCAGAGGTGATGGGATGGTGCAATGTTTGAGCGTAATGTCTGTCCACGCGAGCAAATGTGTCTATAGGATTCAGGGAGGTCCATGGCGAACCTGTGCACTTGTTTACAGTGTTTTCCGTTGCGTATGATGGAGCGTGTCCCTGTCGACGCCGCCAGATTCGTGCTCCGCCAATTGCTGATTCCGATAAAGGAGACCAACTGCTGGAAAACGTCTGATACGAACGATATGGTAGTCCTGTCGTTTGTCGAAAAAACAGGTTGGCTCAGCGCCAAGCGCGATCGCGGACACGCCCCATCATCCGCAGCGAACCAGAGTATGAGTTGTACTGTTTAGTCACTTACGAGATGATGTTTTTATATTTCCAGTTATTTCAGATTAGTTTGATGAATGAAAGTTTTGTACTATTTTTTTACATATCCGAGTTCTCTACAAAGCAAGCTTCGCTGTACAGTACTCAGCACACTGACGCTCGTTACTGGCTACCGCACTCATTACGACCCCCCCCCTCTCCTGGCGGCCAAATACGACCCCCTGTTGGGGATTCCCCAACCAACGATGTGCCCTGCTCCAAGCTGCTCGAAAAGTCAGATGTCAAGCGTGCGGTGGGGGGAAAAGGAATTATATAGCCAATGTGAAACGGGAAAAACCGCGAAAAGTCAACAACCGAAAAATTTTTCCCAACGCGGCAAATTTCTCTCAAAGGCACATACGACCTCCTCCCTCTCCCAACAACGACCAAATACGACCCTACTTCCACAGCGGACAAGCACGACTCCCCCAAGTGTTTCACACAACAGTGCTGTACCCAGTCCCCTACTGATTGCGATGTTACGAACTATACGGGTTTGTATGACCCTCGCTGCACTTTTCTAAAATAGAAGAGCATTTTTTTTGAACACTTTTCGGGTTACCTAATACAAAATTTCTGGCGAAAGGCTTACAATAGACTAGGTTGAATAATTGCCTTCTCTTCGGGGTCGACCCAGTGTTGATGTGTGTTCTAGTACATCCTCCGCGCAGGTGTTAATTATGATTTCTAGAGCAATAAACTTGGCTAATGACGCCATTTTCATGTGTTGCGACTCGCACTCCCTCATGTTACGCTTCTTCTCGTGTCACTTCTCTACGCTGCTCTTGGAGGATGGATTAATCACTGTGATCAGGTACAGCGACCATACTATCGACGACACCATACTGTTAGAAAGGTATGTTGAAGGAATGTTTCCTGTTTCGAGGCAGTTTCAGTGTGGAGTGCCGGCACTAATCAGAAATAAACTATGCATCTATACCATGGATTCTGCTCCTTGCCATGTGCAAGATGAATGACCCCGCAGCTGTAGTAGCGTGCCACTTTCTCTGGTCAAACATGCACGGGAATAGAGCTGAAGGGTTCCGATGCCCGGAATACCGTCTCCTGACACCGCCAGCGCGGCCGGCTACGCGTCTGACTATAGGGTGCGCGGAGTCGGAAGAAGAAACCCTGTGTCACCATCCTCCACTCCTTTTCACGTGCCCTTTTGAGTGTAGGAAGTGACACGCTACTACAGCTTTACCTCGCACATGGCAACGACCGTTGTCGGAGATGAGTGTACACTTCGTTTTCAGTCACTGTCAGTGTTGAAGACTGGGCACGTCATTATTTGGAAAATTTTGATCCAGTCCGTACAACCGCCTCCCCAAAAAGATGGCTTGATATACTCCCTCCCCCGCCGCCGCGTGGTTCCATCCTCGTCGAGCTGTCAAGCGGGGCGGAGCACATATGAAGGGAGGAAAACCGAGACGAACCATTTCATAGACTCCCCCAATTTCCACCCACTTTCTCAGGAATTTCTCGAAAGTTTTCCCTACTTTTCCCCAAATGTTCGCTCTGAAGCGGGGAGGGGGAGGAGAGCACACGAAAAGTCCGCAACCTCTCTCAGTATGCCACAAAAAAGGGAATACGGCCCCCTCCAAACACAATACGACCACACTCCTTCTCAACGTCCCTGAAACAATACAAATCAACTATCAAAAAAATTTTTCTCCGAGATAATCTCTGCATTCCTACAATTCGTAATCGTCATACCTTGGTCAAGTGTGTTCTTTGCAGTCTCTAGGACTGTCCTACTTTCACGGCTTCACAGTAACTAACATCTGCGCTGCGGCCCTGATAAGTGAACTCCACAACTGTGCCACCCACCAAAACTCGAGGGCTGTTTTCTGTCACGAATTCACTTTCACATTATTTTTCCTTTTTTTTCCGCCATTGGATGGTATCACCACTAGATGACACCAAGAGAAGATCAGTAAGCCAGAGGTAGGATATCACTTTGCCGGCACAAAAACAGATCCGAAGAGCTGCCAGAGGTCCTTAGTTAGGATCTTCTTCATAATTTTTTTTGTGTTTTTTTCTCTCCTGGAGAGTCAATTAGCGACTCTTTGCAATCTCCACTATCCACGACATTTAGTCGCGTGGTTTTTTTCAAAACAGTGGGAATAGGAGTAAGAAGGAGGATTGAATTGAGGGTGTTGGCCGTCATAGTATAGCAGTAATAGTATAGCAGTACCCAAAACCCAATTTTGAAGCTGTTTTGTTATGATAACTGCTGTTTAACGCCGCAGTACGCGTTCCGAATGTTATCACAAGAATGCTGAGTTGTGGGCAAAAGTCGTGCCCCAGGCGGGAGTCGAACCCGCACCTCACGCTTTCCGGGCGAGTGCGCTATCCGTTACGCCACCAGGGCCGCTTTTACCCTTCAGCTTTGCGGTTTCATGCCGATATCTAACGATTACGCTGACAGGGCAGCGGCCAGCAGAGTTAAACAAGCTCGAGTGGCTGTAAGGTTACGGCAGTAAGCCGTTAAGCCAAGAAGGTAAAAAGCGGTCAGGGTGGCGTTAACGGATAGCGCACGCTCTCACCGCAAAGCCATGAGGTGAGGGTTCGCCTGCCCCTGGGTCACGAACTTTGGGCCCACACCACGCCTTCTTGTCGATCACTGGTATCACCTGTATCACCTGTGCTCCCGTTGATCATCGAGTTCCTCGAGCGGGCGCCAGTAACGTCTCCATTCGTCCCTGCAACGTGCAAGAGTTGCCCAATGAACTCTCTCAGCTCGAGGGACACGATGAACTTCGACCGTTCATACCAATTCAGTTCAGAAGCTTCACAAGACAATCTGACCATACGCGTAGCGCGGTCTTCCAGGCTTTCGGCCACTTGACGCCTCCGATCGTATCGCCAGTCGCGTAAATTGTCTCTGGTCCAGCGTCGTCTCTTCGCAATACGCATGGATGCACGTCCCCACAGCCCGTATCCTCGAAACCTGTAAATGCGCCCGGCGCTTCTCTCGTCTCTGATCTTCGATCGTCGGCGGAGTGCGGAGCTCCGGATTCCCTCTCTCACTTGCGTGTAGCGGGAAACTCCGAGCATCGCCCTTTCGATGGCGCGTTGAATAACACCGACCGCATGCTCATCCTGCTTTCGTAGAGTCCAAGTCTCTGAGGCGTACGTCAAGGCAGGAAGGACCGCGGAATCGAAAGGGGCACGGAGCTTGGTGTTCTTCGTCTTCTTCGCTACTCCCTCGATGTTCTTGAAGGCTCCCCAAGCCGCTCGCTTCCTCCTGCTCAGCTCTGGAGCTAGGTCATTCATCATATTGATTTCACGACCTAGGTACACATAGCTAGAGCATTCAGAGATGGTCGTTCCGTTGAGCGTGAATGGGGCATCAGATACCAATCCGTTTCTCATGAACATCGTCTTCGTTAGGTTCAGCCGTAGACCGATTCTTCCACACGCGCAGTCGAATTCAGCCAGCATTCGTTCCGCTTGCTCGATGTTTGGCGTTATCAAAACGATGTCGTCAGCAAAGCGGAGATGGTGTAGTTGCCGACCGTCGATCTTCACTCCCATGTCTTCCCATTCCAGTTGACGCATGACGTTCTCGAGAGAGGCGCTGAAGAGCTTGGGCGAGATGGTGTCGCCCTGTCGGACCCCTCTCTTCACATCAATGATGATCTCCTTGTAGAATGGTGAAATCTTGGTCGTGAAGTTGCTGTAGAGCTCACGAAGAATCCTGATGTACTGAGTAGGAATACCCTGGTTGCCCAGGGCTTCGATAACCGCTTCTGTCTCAACGGAGTCGAAGGCTTTCTTCAAGTCGATGAACGTGAGACATAACGGCATCTTGTACTCTCGCGATACTTCAATGAGCTTCGTTACCGTGTGGATGTGATCGATCGTGCTGAATCCTCTTCGAAACCCTGCTTGCTCGCATGGCTGTCCTTCGTCTAGTGTTCTGCCAATCCTGTTCAGGATGACTCGTGTGAAGAGTTTGTAGACTACAGACAGCAGGCAGATTGGGCGATAATTGCCAATGTCGTACAGGTCTCCCTTCTTGTACAGCAACACAGTCTTGCTGGTTTTCCACGAGGTGGGTACCTTGCATTCCGACAGGTAGCGCGTGAAGAGTCAGAGTTTTGACAAGAACTGGCGGAAGATTCTTCAGATGTTCGGGTCTGATCCTGTCGGGACCGGGTGCCGTACGATTCTTCACCGACGAGATGGCGTGTCGGACTTCGGAAGAGAGAACTGCAGGAACGACATATCCATCCTGCTCCAAGCGGTATGGTTGCAGGTGGACGTGGCTGTCAAAGAGATCCGAGTAGAAGTCGTGGATGACCTTCTCCATTGCCCTTCTGGATGCGGTGATTGTTCCCCGACGAGGGCGGTCATCTTGGTCTTACAGTTGGCGAAGTCGCGGCGGGCGTTGCGTATGCTCTTCCCAGCCTCTGCGGCTTCCACCAGTACTGCTGCTCTTCTCTCCTTGAGGTCTTCCTTTATCGCTTCCTCTGCATAGCTTCGCAAGCTCAGACGTCAGCTGGTAATTGCCTGCGGCTCGTGCGGCTCCACGTTGGCGAATCAGCTCGAGAGTTTCCAGAGATAGACGCTTCTTGGTAATCTTGGAACCCTCTGACTTCTTGGCGCAGTCGTGAAGATGTGCAACAAGCCTTTCGTATTCCTCGTCGATGTTGTCAATGACAGAATCCTCCCAGAGCCCAGCGAGAGAAGTGAAGTGATCCCAGTTGATGGTGGTCTTGGGGCTTCGCTTCTTGAACTTTGCGGCTCTCTCTCCTCGCATCGAAAAGCGGAATCTTGCGCGAAGGAGACGATGGTCGGATCCCGTGTAGAACTTAGGGACAACAGCGACATCGGTCAGGCAAAACCTTCGATTGATGATGTGGTCGATCTCGTTATGGAATTGTCCACCAGGAGACTCCCATGTCCAGCGTAGAGAGTAGGGCTTCTGGAACTGCGAGTTACCATGGATGGTGTGGGTCGACATGATAAACTCAGACAGCCTTTCACCCTGCTCATTCCACTCCGTTCCGTGAGTTCCGATGTGAAGTTCTTCAGCCGTTCTTCTTGGTCCGATCTTAGCGTTGAAATCACCGACGATGACCTTGAAGAAGGTATGATCTTCCTTGTAGAACTTCTCCAATTCCATATAGAACGCTTCGAGCTCATCCTCGTCGTAGCTTGATGTTGGTGCGTAGGCGACGAAGATTGTCAAAGCTGGAGTTGAACCACATCTTCTCAATCGCAAACGTCCGATTCGGGTCGTCAGACTTTCGTACGAATCGATGTTCATGGCCAAGTTGACGAGGACGCCCACACCGCCAACGCCTCTGCTGTCGCATGTTCCGAGGAACAGTTCTTCTCCAGTCTCGTATACGGCGTGTAGCGGGCGATGCCTCTCTCGGTCAGTCCGATGACGTCGTACTTGATCTTCCTGGCTTGCAACATCAGATCTTCGATGTGAGCTTCCGATGCAAGCGTCCGTGCGTTGAAAGTACAGATCGTCATCCTAGTCCTGGGCGACTTGAATCTCCATTGGCCCTGTGATTTTAGCAGCCTCGCCGAGTCCCAGCCGACGTCGCCCTGTCGGTGGTTCCCTCAGTTCAGGGGAATGAGGCCCATAACTGTTACTGTTTTCGGCGAGAAGAAATTTAACCACGCGTAGCTCGCCTCTGACGTGGCACCCTCCGCATTGGTACGTTTTTGGAACAGTCCAAAACCGTTCACCCCCACGCCACGATGAGGCTGCGGATAGGATTTGTGGGGGCTTCATGTGATAGTACCCAATATTTTGTGTGACCGAAAAGGTGTTTATTTTTTTTTTTTGTTTTTCGACACTGAACAAAAATCTGGTTATTTAGCGCTAAAACAAACTTCACGCGCTTTGTGGCTTCATTGAATTCGCCTCGAGGTCCAATCCTGGAGGAAAGGTTTACCCGTTTCGTTGACGACTTACACGAGATCTACGCAAGAACTCCTTTTCAGTGGAGCCGTGATTTCACCGTAAGCTATTGAGACAATTGCAATGTCAAATCCTTTTTATGAGGTCCAATATTGTGTCGTACAAGTGGAACTCTATAGCTGCTTTAGCGTCATAAATTAGCTCCCCAATATCCTTTCAGGGGTCCATACACAATCATCCGTTGTCTAATGTCACATGGAATCTGTTCTTCGCTGCCACAACACTCACATCCATAGGTAGGAGACTCATGCGATAGACAGAGCCTAAAAAAAGGCTGCATGCTTACACTAATAGTTTTCCTTCAGGTTACGGCACTGATGCTCCAGCCTCTCCTGTGGGACGAATATTTTGTCTTGTTTATTTGTTTTTTGGAATACCTCTCTATCTCATTACCCTTGCAGATCTGGTAAGTTGTTGTAAAACATTTTATTTAAAGGTAGTGTGCACAATGTCTGGGGACAGGCGGTTGCTGCCAACTCTATCGATGGGAGGGCTACGAGACGGTGTTTGGCCACACTCCTCTCAGTCCTTCCACCAGTCCTTCCAGAAGTTGGCAGCCACCACCCTCCCCCCATAAGGGTGCCTTTTTCGGAAAAGGCGCTGCGCAGCGCTTGTACAGGGTCGCGGAATTCCGTCCTGCCAGGCGTATCAATCCCATTTCGTCTTAGGGATCTATCGTGCTAACTGCCTTCAAGTGGCAGCAAGTCTCAAAGTGCAGGTTGTTGCTGAGAACTCATACGTTTTCGTTTGCGATTTCCATTGCTTCCGATCAAGATCAGGCGCATGCCGCGGAACCAGAAAAATGGAAGAATGTATCTGGAACGATCACTACTTGTGTATCGCAGGCACTCCATCCGGAAGGTGTTGAGGGTCAAAAGAGCAGCTGCCGTCACTTCCAAATAAAGTACGCAGCCACCTCCTCCCTATCACCGGGATATGAAGTGTAGATGTTGGCTCATCAGCTGGGATCGAACAGTGTACATGGAGTTTCATTGTCCAAAGATTGCGATGAGAAGCTGCAATGTCGTGACGCTCTTGGCAGCTCCCTAGTCAGTGCCTTATCGGTTCAGTGGCCTACATCTTCGGCTTTAGCATGTCGGCCTGCGTGAGCTTTACTGCTGCTGTGAATTCTATGATACAAAAGCTTCTTTTTGGAGGCACACAGACACATGATTTATTGTTTCGACTAACCGCAATTTTTATAACATCCTCAGTTGTCTGACGAATCTTTACCGTTCCTTTCATATGTTCGGGAGTTGCTCCTCTCTATTGCAGTCCTGTTCCAGTGATAAACAAGTATTCACAGAGGAAGAGATAGTATCAAATACTCACTACTGCTTCGGTGTCACACTGAAAACGTAAAACGAACAGTTTACTTGTACTTTTTCCAAGTAAGCTTTGGAATGATATCCACGGAGGTTTCAGAAGAAATATACAGGAGGGGCAGTGAAAAAGATTTTGCCTATTGCTTTGAAATTCTGTAAAACTCCATCGAGTTGAAGCTTTGCAAAGATACAAAGAGAACGAGCATAAGAAAAGAATGTTTCGCATATTGTCGAGTTCACAAGAACATTTCAGGCAAAATTCTGCACCGAATTCATGAACAAAATTTATATCGACATTATAAAATGCAAGTACAGAGTGAGGCGGAAATACAGGAGATGGAAGTATGGACGAGGTCGACGCGATTCCATCAAGATTGGGCAGGTGATCATTGCAGGCGGAGAAGACGAGGTGAGAGCTTTAATCAATTCGTCATTCTTCAAAAAATATCAGATTCGCGTCTGTTCAATGAGGTGCTCAGATCGCCTATAGCGAGCTGGAGCAATCATGCGTAAGCCTGAACCATCCGTAAAATATGACGTTGCGAACCATGTTGGGGATCGTGAGAGAGCTGTTGTTTAAGTTGACCGCACCACAGTGTGCTTCTGAGTGGGAAAAGCTGAGTTGACAGACTTATCTTGAGGAAAAAGGGATAAAGCTTCCAGACTGGCTCAATTCCCTCTCGGGGCATTCACGTCCACGTACTCTGCTACTACACAGAATCGTAAGACATGTGAGCAGCGGCTGATGTTCAAGTCAGTGTTCTGCCACCCCTCCCCCCAGGCAAGGAAGACTTGCTTGGCCAAAGCAGGACGCTACCAGAATCTCCGCCCTTTTTCTTTACTCGATTGTGCGTGCAGTTAACGGCGCTCAGGATACTGTATCGTGACTTGTGAAATGGGGTGTAGGTACGCCTCCCCCCCCCCCTCCGAGAGAGGGTGTCAGTACAACTCCCCCACATGAGTGACGGTCTCGGTACGACCCTTCTTCCTCAATAACTTTCCCACTTTTTCCAGTTTTCGTTTCCGTCGAGCAGGGGTTGGTCGTACCCCTCCACCCGCTCGACGGAAATGAATATCGAGAGCCGAGAGCCTGCCTGCTCCTGCTTATCGAGGAACATCTTGGGTATCTTCCGCCCTGGTACTCGTATCCACGTCTTCTGTCTGGGCTGCGTAAACTTCACATATGTGACTCGGCCAAAATGTCTTTTGCCCCTCCCCTCCTGTATAGTACACATGAAACAGTAAAAATCACGCAGAAGTCAACAACCGGAAAATTTTTTTCTCAACGCAGCATTCTCTTCAAACGCTCATGCGACCGCCCCTTCTCTCCCAGCGACCAAAGACCGTCCTTCCCCAGCTGAAAAGTACCTCCCCCCCTATTGTTTCCATACAACGATGCTGAACCGTGACGGCGCTACACCACTTCCGCCTCAGGACTTTTGGTGCTGTAGAGATGCACATGATATATGGAGAAGAGGCAATAACAAGACGACCTTACAAAATCCATTCCTGGAAATTTTTTGGATTTGTAGGCACGATCAATCGAAGGACAGGGATTTTATCTCTTGCATTCTATTCGAGATTCAGAAAAAAAAGACTTCGAGAGCATCAACCACATTACGAACAACTGAGCATATTTGATGTCCTCACTGCAATGCACTTTCAGGTGGCTGAATTCTTATGGACACATTTAGAACATGCTCAGTTCGTGGAAATCCCATTTCTTCTGATTATTGGTGAGTGACATAGGCTTAATGAAATGCCTTTTGATATTTGTAGCTCCCAAGCTTGGTGGTTCTATTATTGCTTGCGAAACTCTAGAAGAGTCAAAAACAAAACTCAAACCTGCACTTCCCAGTTTTGGCAAAAACGATGCTTACTTCTGTCTCGCTGTCGCTAGCTGCATTTTACGGAGAAAAGCATGGAGCGGTTTAGCTAAGGATAAGTAAATCTGATTGATGGTAATCGTGAATAAGTAAGGCGGTGAAAGCTTTCTAGAAGTGCGGCTAAGAAGGAGTGAAATAGTCGGCATTCACTAATACTCTCGAAAGGCGCCCGGTGCTATAATCAGTGGGAGCTTGAGCACATAGGGGAATCTTTGAGACGGTCTTTCTAGGGGTAAAATTACAAATAGGTAATCTGTTGAGAATTTCAGGTGTTTTGCTCGTCTATATTGCTTTTGCCTCGTACATAATTTCGATAATCGAAGGTTGGCGGATTTCTGATGGGTTCTACTTTATGATGATCAGCGTGTTAACAATTGGCTTTGGTGGTGAGTGGACTGAAAGCTGAAGAGAGGGCAATTCAAAATACTCACTAACTTAAACGAGCTTTGTCAACAGATCTTGTGCCTCGTAACGAAACTTTCATACTTCTGGTGTTGTTTCTGATACTTGTGGGTTTGGTACTTACGACGACTTGCATAGATGTCGTCGGAGCATACTATATTGATAGGCTGCACTTCTTCGGCAGAAGGCTGGACGACGTGAGTGTATTTCCGATCATTTCTAAAGGCGTAGCATTTACGTGTGAAGAAGCTGAGACTTTCATTCCCGTAATAGTCTTTTTTATTTTTGTCGAGTAGTCTTCTTTATTTTTAGTCGAGTATAAGATATGGGGGAATTTTGAGCATCACTGATGAGTATTGTGACCATGTTGTAGCACTTCTCACAAAGTCAGTACTTCCTTCTCCTACCACAACTCGCCTAACGACCTGCCATTCGAAACTGTTGTAATGATAAAGAGACATACATGAAGGATTTGGGAGCTAATACCCTACCTTCAAATAGCAGTGGCAGAGCCCTAGCTGGGCAACCTCTTTAACGTTCCCTGATGCTTAAAGGCAGTTGGCACGATAAATCCCCCAAGACGACTAGGATCAATACTCCTGGCAGGATAGAATTCCGCGACCCTGGGCAGGCGCTGCATAGCGGTTTCCCCGAGGAAGGTGCCCTTATAAGGGCCCTATCAAGCCACAACATTACGTCCCAAACGCCCGCCCGCCCACAAATGGACGACCGTTCCTGACGCTCTAATTGATTCATTTGCTAAGCAAATTATGAAGCGAAGGGATTGGTATGAAGCGGCCGTGATGCTGCATGCATATATGGGTACACATATGCAGCCGTATCTTCGGTAGCGGTGATTGGCAAGATGCCTACGGGAAACTCGTCCGAAATCGATTTTCAAGTCACTGAGAACGGAGGCTTTTTCTTCGCAGGATTTTCACTCCGTTCTTTCGCCATTTCCCCACTATATAGCGCCCTACTAGCATTTTAGGCCGAGCACCAAATCATCGTGCCAACTGCCTTTAAAATATGTCGCGGTGTTATCTTCAGTTGTACCAAAGTTGGGTCAGCTTCGGTTCACCCCTTCGGAATATTTCGTTTCCAGAGGACACTTAATTGACTGCTTCTCTTTCATTCTTGCATTTAGCTTGTTGTTGCTTGAGACAGCTTGTTGCAGGATCCTCTTTCTTGGCTAAAAGAAGTGCAACAGCGACGAATCGAGGCTATGAAGAGAGAAGCCATGCGTAAACTTTTCGAAACGGTCACTGCGCTGCATCACATCCGTTTCACAGGTATGTCACCATACCGATCTGATACTCGCTCATACAGTCCTCATCATTGCGGACCGGTGGGGCGTGTCAGCCAGAAGGAGTGCGCACACTGTTGAAGCCGTTCTCAGCCTTTTTTGTTGCAACGCGTATGCGACAAAAAGTGGTAGAAAACGAGTAATACGAAGGATATAATACAGTAATGCACTTGCCCGCTTCAAAAACTGGTGCAGAACGACTTTGCCAAACCGCACCAAACGCAGCCGCACTGCCACGCCCCACCGGTCCGCAATGATGAGGACTGTACCACCGTAATTTTTGCGTTCTTTGGAACATCTTCGCAGCATCTCTCGATGATCATTCAAAAGGTGAATTCCGTTCACAGAATCAGCTGTTACTGCTCCACTTAAAGGCAGGTGGCACAATTATTCTCCCAAACGTGTAGAACTGATAGATTCGGCTCCCCGCAGCAGGCGCTGCGTGGCATCTATTAACATACCGACCCGGACACCCCCCCCCCCACCGCCGCCCACAAATGGACGACCGTACCTGATGCTCGTATCGCTTCATTTGCGAAGTACAATATGAAGGCGAAGGGATATGAAGCGGCTGCGGTGCTGCATGGATATATGAGTAATGCAGCCGTATTTACCGTAGCGGTTCGCGATGCCAGCAGGGGACTCGTCCAAAATTGCTTTCCGAGTCGTGTAGAACAAAAGCTTCTTTTGATGACCGTTCCATCTCGCTTTTTCGCAAGTTCCCGCTATATAGCACCCCTGCTATCGTTTGAAGGCAGTTGGCACGATGGCTGTGCTCGGCCTAAAATGCTAGTCGCTATATAGTGGGGAAATGGCGAAAGAACGGAGTGAAACGGTCAAAATCCTGCGAAAAAAGAGCCTCCGTTCTCAATGTGTTAGAAATCAATTTTGGACGAGTTTCCTGTAGGCATCTTGCCAATAACCGCTACCGAAGGTACGGCTGCATATGTGTACTCATATATCCATGCAGCATCACGGCCGCTTCATACCAATCCCTTCGCTTCATAATTTGCTTAGCAAATGAATCGATTAGAGCGTCAGGAACGGTCGTCCATTTGTGGGCGGGCGGGCGTGGCGGGCGTTTGGGTCGTAAAGTTGTGGCTTGATAGGGCCCTTATAAGGGCACCTCCCTTGGAAAAGGCATTATGCAGCGCCTGCTCAGGGTCGCGGAATTCCGTCCTGCCAGGCGTATTAATCCTACTCGTCTTGGGATTTATCGTGCCAACTGCCTTTAGGACCAACTACCAAGTTGACGGGCCTTATTGCCCTTTGACCCGCAGTTCGCGCAAGAGAGTTTGGCGGCGTCGGTAACTACGACGCACCCGAGAGGTGTGGTCCTATAGCAAGCTCTTCAGAGCTGAAGGAAAACCCCTTTTTGTCGTCTCCTGCACCTCATCGCAAGCGTACGGTCTGCTGTTCTCATTTTTTCTATCTGTGGCTCCATTCTAGTTTTTGCAAAAAATTATCTAGCTAGTATACATACTCTCCTTATCCCTGAGACGGAGTATCCGTGGCATTTGAACATGGCATAGAAAGAGTTTCTCGTGGGAGATCTGTTTCGCGCAACTGTCATCTTCTTCTGTGTTGGGCAGAGACACGACCACAGCTGTGTCAGAATGAAAATATCTCCTCAAAAGCATAGCATACCGCCACGTTCATTGGAAGTTAAGTAGCCAACGCCCCTCATACTCAGGGATTCCAAGTGTACCGGCTTCTGTGGTTCAAAAGAGAAGGTTAAAGTACGTAATACGACCCCGGTCATGGTGATGTGTTTTCACATTGCTTATGCGCAATACGTGGAATGTAACATCCTCCCCTCCCACTAAGAAGAGCCCGTTGCGGCATCCCGTATCGGTAAACAATGATATTGCTCGTTTTTTAGACTCAAACACCTCGCGCAGAACGCGCCGGAGATGTTGCCAGGTTAGTTTATTCTTTGAAGATCACTTTTGCAAAAGTTTTTGTTCAAATCGCTTCCATTACAGCTTTTCAGACTTTGGCATAAGTTTTTGTTCAAATCGTTTCCCATTACCGTTTTTCAGACTGTCCAGGGAGCCCTAGGAATCTCATCGCTTCTCATGCAACAGCCGATTCAGTACTTTTGAGATGGAGTCCGCCACTATATGTGGACGAAGGGAAGCGCTATTGGTACACACTCACCTACAAGCCAAGGTTTATAGCTACAATGTCTCCAAAAAGCAGCTTTTTATAACCATATTATGCATCTACAAGCAGAAAATCCCATTTTGAAATTGCGGTAGGCCGTATTACAAGGCTTACGCTTTTCTATACTATCTACCATTCCTTCCCAGAGTCTCGTAGCTGCGGCCAGATGTCGACCGGAATTTTCCCCGGTGGTTACTTTTGATGTTGAGCCAATCCTCAAGAATCCTCGTTCAGCTCGGTAAAATTTAATGGATCCCTTGCACTGCTCTTAAACAATCAGATTTTATAAATAGCAGCCTCACATGGTTGGTCTTTGTATTCATTACTTCTATGTCGCTAACTTCATAAACTTCATATAGTGTCGGCTGATGTCAGTTGGATGTCTAAATGTGAGAGTGGTTTTATCTCTACATAGTCACTGCTGGGAGGACTAAATAGCAGAATTATGAAGAGAAATATAGTAAAATTGTCAGGTCGAAAGATAAATACACAGATTAAGAAACAAATAAGGGAATAAATAAACCACCACACTATTCGTTGTTTGCGAGAGAGATCGCTGGGGAAAACAGTTGTTCAGGGATTCTGGACCAACTTATTACGTTTAGGAGCTTATTTTACTTTACGCTGTAGAGATTGTTTTGTAGCCAGGGCGCATCCTTAGTTGGGGATTTTGGTCGAGGGGCGAGCCCCCCTCGAGGGTGGCTTAATGCAACCCCACTGGTTCCCCTCTCATCGAGCTGTCAGGGGGAGTATGTAGCGCATGTGAACCCGCACCCCCCTCTTCAAAGTGTCCCTGAAACAAGAAAAATCAACGACCAAAAACGTTATTCTCACACCAATTAGAACAAACCCTCTCCGCCCGCGCAACCAATCAGGACCTCCATTGTTGAGGAATGCCTTGCGGCGATGTGCCCTGTTCGTAAGCAGCTCCCCTTCTGACAAAACACACGCTCAGCAAGTAGTAAGTTGGCATCATTCTTCTCAGCCGAAAGATGGTAAATCCTTCACCGCGCAATTGTCAGTTTCATAGTCCCACCTGTATACACCACGATGCATCTGCGCCGTATGCACTACGGGTGCCGCAACTATTACAATGTGCGATAATTATCGCAGCAGGTTGACCTTCGCCTAATGCTGGATTTTGGTCTAATAGACAAGGTTACGACGGCAAATCATTTATCGCTAACGCTTACTCGCTGTCGTTGTGGGACTGTTGCAGGGTAAACCTAATGGGAAGTGCTCTTCTATCTGACTGGACCACAATGTGCTTACATATGGGTAGAGAGGTAAAATGGGCAGCAAAGTTTCGACTTCAGGCACTGCGAAAAGGAACTCTTAATTAACGTGCTAAAAGTAAGGAATAGCTCTCCGCCCAGCTGTACCAAATAAACTTCGCTCTCAGTGGAGCTTCTTCTCTAAATTCACACATGTTGACCTCTATGTGCATCCCTT